TTTTTTTTTTCAAAATAATAATTTATTGTATTTCTATAATTCCATCGAGGGCTGCTCAGTAGGTTCTGGGTTTGATTCCCAGCCAGGGGTCTTTCTGCATGTTTGAGTTTGCATGTTCTCCCTGAGCATGTGTGGGTTCCCTCTGGTTACTCCAGCTTTCTCCCACAGTCCAAAAACATGACTGTTTGGTTAATTGGCTTCTCTAAATTCTCATTACAGTATTTGTGAATGGTTGTTTGTCCTGTTTGTCCTGTTTGTTGCCTTGCAATGGACTGGCGACCTGTCCAGGGTGTACCCCATCTCTTGCCCGTAGACAGCTGGAGTTAGGCACCAGCACCCCATGCAACCCCACTTGGGATAAGCGTGACAGAAAATGGATGGATAGATGGATAATTCCATTGATTCAAGAAATCATAATACATTGATACTGTAATGGAAGTTAAACTTAAAGTAACAAATATCATACAGCAGATAGTCACATGGTGTGTATTTTTCTCCAGAATGTGCTGCATGGAAAATAAACATTTAATCATGAATGCTTATTATGTATTTAAACCTACTTAGTCATTGTGATAGTGGGCAAATATACACGCAGAGCCCTTAGGAGGCTTATATATAAGCCTGTAAGGTTTATAATTTTTTTGGTTTAATATGGCTCTTTGAACATTTTGTGTTGCCGACCCCTGGAATAGACAGTAAAGCCCTTGAGGGTCCTAAAACTTCTATACGCGTCTCTGCTTCAACATACCTGACTCCAATATGACCTCAATAGCACAAGCTCGGCAGACTGCATGCTAAAGTATTAGCCATTCAAAATTTACCCACTTTCCTTGATTGGCCCTTGGCTGGTCCCCTACAATTCCTTTTTAAACATTATTTGTCATAAAATATTCTTTCTTTAATGATTTGTGGACATTCAGATCTAAAGAGAAGCATAGTCTCCTGGTCCGACTTTGTAATTCGGTGAAAGGGTGGAGTCAGAGTAAAAAAATATGCAAGAGGGGGTCACTCCACTGGCTGGAAGTCGGAAGGGATTTCGCTGGGAGTTGGAGGGAAGTGGGCTGCCATTTGGCTGGCGTTTGACTGGGAAGGGCCATTTTGAACGGCTGCTACCATAGTGAGGTAGTTTAGACATTTTATTTGGTTATTAGGGCATCTAAAATCTGCTGTAAGGGGCATCTAAAAGCTGCATGACACCAAGCACAAACTCTGAGACCCAAGTTGATTTCCTGTCAAACATGAATAATTTTATGTTGGTGGGCTGTTGTGGGATCTTCTTAAATAACACTTTAAGGGGACACTTATCATGGTTTACTTGTGGGATGTGGTGTCTTTGGAGTAGTGAAAAATGGGAAATGATAAAACGTATGTAATGGTATAATTAGGCTCTGATCAGGATGATTGATTGAGAAGAACCTTGGGGCACTTGCTGACCCCCTATCTAATGATTCTCCTCATTCTGGCCCATGATTGCTGTTACAGATTCCAATTAGAGAGCATGTGTAGAAGCCTGAACTGGGCAGGGATGGGCCTTAATTGCCTTGAGTTATCATCTAGACTCAAGTAATTGAGCCCCCATCTTAAGGAGCAGCGCATATGACAAATTGATTTAATACCAAAGAGATTCTCCATCCCTAATGGCTCTCTGGCTTCTTCACTCATGGGCTGCAGGCACAGAATTCATTGTGTGTTGATTACTGAGCAGCCCAAACCTTTTTTGTCTTTCTGTCCACCCACTTGATAGAGTTCAGCAACAGACACATATCGCCTCGAAGTGCTTTTTAAAGTCCCATGCCTGTATTTTTCCAAAGCTCATTACTTATCACCTAGTGTTTGGATGAATGTAAAGCATATTGCCATAGATTTTTCTAGGGCGTTAATCATGTCAGTGTTGCAGAACAGGACCTCAGCAAATGTGTCCTATCATAGCCTCCCCCTCTTAGAAAGTAGAACAAGGTGTGTTCCATCAAAATAGCAAGCCCCCTGCTTAAAACTCTTTTTTAAAGATGTTCTATTCTTTATTTTACAGGCTCCTTATAGAAGATTGGAATTAACTCCTAGGAAGCTGTAACACTACTGAAACACCAAGTTGCTGAAAATCTAGATCAAACTTATTTGTTTGAGTGACATTCCAGTCTATCTTTTTTCCATTTTATGTTTTTTTTTTTTTTTAGCACTTTGAATTATCTTGCCAATGAAATACACCATCAGAGCAGTTTAACAGCAGCAACATAAACAGATGAAATTAAATAGGATCTATATGCCTTTTCATAGTTATTTTGTTGTTAAATAGTTTTCTTTCTATCTTTTCCTGTTATCAGAAAAAGTATTTCCACCAAGTGCAGAGAAAATGTCTAACAAAAAAAGAAAATAAGTCTTTGCTAAAAAGACAGGCATCCTAATCAGTGGTCTTGTGGCGCTTCATGCCATCTTGGCTGCTGCGGAAAACCTCATTTGGTAATTAATCTGTAAGAAGTGACTCCTTATTTCATGATGTATTTAGTAGATGAAGGAATGGAGATAACCAGGTGCCCTTGGTGGAAAAGTCTCCCTCACCATCTGTGAAACTTTAGAAAGTATATTGGAGAGGTTCAACAGTAAGCTAACATGCTGTCATCATAGAAGGAAGTAAAGAGTAAAGGCATAGCCAAAGGTCCAGTGCCCAAGTTTGAAGACCTACCAAACCAAAAGCACCTAAAAAAGACTATGGTTAACCTTCACCCTTAGTATTATTCTCATGTAGGTGAGAACAATTGGCAGAACTTTTGTCACTCTTTTGTCATTTGTCCAGAGGCAGAAATTTAAAAAAACATAGTTTACACTAAGTTTTGGGGAAACAGAGAACTCACCTATCCTAAAGAACAGAAGTTGTTTGCTCCTGATTCTACCTTAAATATATATTTTGATTACAAGCTGTCATCTGAAACACTGAAGGTGCTTTTTAGCCCTCTGAGTCAAACTGAGCATATGTTGGAACCAGTCTTTCAGATTTCGACTCTAACGCAGAAATAGCATGTCAACTAGGTCAAGTCATCACAAAGATCGAAATATTTAGAATGAAGCAGGTCTTCTCTGCAAGAAAAAAGAATCTGTGTGTGTTTGATTGTAAGGGGAACATCAGTACAAAGAACCGCAACACTTTTTTGTTTGTTGACGAGGTGTGGTGCATTACCGCTCAGAGGTGTTGACTGGCAATCAGTTCTGATCCCCTCCAACTTATCCAGTCAGCCCGCATTCTGGTGCAGAGGTTGGACGGCCCTTAAATATTCAAACCTCCAGATTACTACACCGCACTACACAAGGAAGTAAAAAATACAGCTGTTTATTTGACAAAGCCTCTTCATGCCATTTAAGAGTGACACCAATTTCTTTCCTGGAGTTTTTCCATAATGTGTTGATAAGTATGAGCTAAATAACGAGATGTCTGTAGATGTTTACATTTGCAAACCATCGCCAGCCGGAGCTGCTGCTCGCTCGCCATGTGTTCCCTGCGGATCTATCGGCGTAGTTACAAATTTTAAAAATTCTATGTGTTGCGTGCGAAAATTCTGGCTTCATGGAGTCCGTTGAGTGCCGTGAAAGCTCAAATTGTCATAATTTGGCCACACGGACATTGCGGATGCTTCAAGCATAAATCCAGCTATAGGCTCGGACACAGTGTCTCTGGTGCTGGGCAGCAAGTCGATAAGAGCTACCCCCAGCTGCTTGTGAAGTTTACTGTGGTCCTGCAGCTTGTGATTGGGTTACTATGGCATGATTCCAAACACCGCTGAGGCTGCGGACGAACTGTTGTCTGGTTGAGAATGGACTTGCAGTTGAACAAGAGGGGTAAAGGGGCAGACATTCAAGTCCTCTCAGAAGGTTACCACAACCCTGCAAATCAGGGTGTAAAGAGGAAGAAACAAAAGAATTAGTGTTTGAGAAT